CTGCCATTGTTTGAACGAAACTTCTGCAGATACCGAGCACCTCTTACAACCCAATGCTGAAACAGAAATGGAATCAGTGGCATTAACAACAACAAGAAAAATCCTTGTATTTGATACAACGCCTATCGCGTCAGGGAGGACGTAAATCACAGGATTTACTGTAAAGTGTAAAACGAGTGTGTGTGTGTGTGTGTGTTGGTTGGCACTTTGCGCATTCAAAGCCTCCAAAAATGTCCATGACGCTTTTGACCGAGCTTTAATAATAAACTGTAATCCTTGCATTCGATACAGAGTCTTATCGAGTCGTTGAGACGTCTCAAAGCGCTTCACAGAATATATTGTGAAGGGAATCGACTGTATATTTTATGGGCGAAACGTGGCAGCCAATTGTGCACAACAGTGCCCCGCAATCCTCGCAACAGCAAAGCTTGGAGCTATTGCAGTTTGACATAATGCCACAAGTCAGGGGCCCCTGGGCTGTTAATGAGACACAAAATCTCTTAATATGGTCTCGATCCTAAAGATCAGGACAATGAATGATTAAATATTGAAGATTAGCACCACATGTCTGAAAGTTTGCATGGGAGCTGGGGTCAGGTTTCAGGGTACAAATCCCTTTCTTTCGGGATTAAAGGCTTAATTCCTTGTAATGGAAACACTGCAATGGATTGCCCATCTTTGATCACGGGCCGGAAGATGATAAATTATGCGGAAGAATATAAACAGTGTTAGTCCAGCAGGACAAGAGGGGCGCGAGGCTGCAAAGGGACAAGTCACCGTCATGGAAACAGGAAACTAGGAGAGTCTGTTTTACCTTGCCGGCTGCCAAGATAATTGTATATTCTTGGACAAAGCGCAATACAATTTTTTTTTAAATGACAGCAGCTCACGCATGGAATGCCCAAACGATACACAGAAGATACGTGGAGTCCTGTGGTGTATTGGTTAGAGCGCTCTCCTTGCAAGTGAGAGGACCCAGGTTCGATTCCGGGCAGAGAATAAACCTTAGGCAAGTTTCCTCACTCCGCACGTCTCTGGTACCTAGCGGTACGCAGGAACCCGGTTGTTAGTTAGTTGATTGATGGATCGCTAATCCCTTTTAAAATATAATGTGGTTACTCAATCCACCACTGTTTGTGGGACACCTGCTGTGCGCAATTGGCTGTGGCGTTTTGCCAACAAAGTATACAGTCAATCCACTTAATAGTATATCCCGTGAAGCCCTTTGACACAACCTGGTGAGGCGCTATATCAAAAGCAAGGATTTATTATTAAGATAGAACGAGTCCTGCCATCGATCCAGACTCCTTGTAACACTGCCAGGTCCCAGTTTGGGATCTTTCCCACTTACAACAACAACAACAACAAGATTCCATTTATAGAGCACCTTTCACATCGGGAGGACGTCCCAAGGCACTGGGGCAGTCACATGAGGGCAGGCTACACCACCAAGTAGGTGAGTGGGGATTTCACCTCTTTCCTTCCTTCCTTTTGCCCCCCCACCACCACCCCTCCCTTCCCTTCCTCCACACAAGCCACGATCGACCGTTACACTGCTCTGACCGGGCCTGGTCGGTTCTGGCTGCTGGGAGGAGGCAATGCGGAGGAGAGCAACGAGGCCGACGTGAGAGGGATGAGCTGTAAGGAGATACCATGTATTTGTCCTCAATCGTACGGAGTCCTGAAATGTCAAATTGATAGGGTAGCAGTACCACCGAGTGCCTACTGGCGGCGCTGGTGAGCCTCGCTGTAAATTGTGTTGCTCAGCACCGCCCCCAACAGGCACTCAGCAGCACTACAACCGGGGGCATCCTTCACCTGTCTGGCAACTATCTCACTGCAGGTTGGGGCTGAAGATAGTGATTTGGGGCTGATTTCTCCCCCTCCTCCCCCCCCTCATACATCTTAACCTATAGGACATTACGAACGGTTGCAGTTCCCAACTGCTGTCCAGGTTGAGATCCGTTATATACCTGAATTGCACCTCGTGGGCAAAACGTTGGGCGAGTTTCCTTCTGTTTTACCTCGCAGTAAGTAAGGAACGAGCTCGGTTGTTAGTCGATGGTGGGGGTGGGGGGCATCGCTTTTCCGAGGGCAATAATTCCTTCAAAGAGAATATAATAATAATAATAATAAATCGTCGCTCGATCCGCGGCTGTTTGTGGGGACTCTGCTGTGCCCAATCGGCTGTCGCTTTTCGCCCACAAAATACGCAGTCGATTCACTTTGTAGTCTATCCCGTGAAGCGCCTTGAGACGTCTCGAAGACGTGATGAGGAGCTACATCAAATGCAAGGATTATTATTATTATTGATGGTGCTCTGGGTAAGGTTTGCTTGATGCTCAGAGCAGTCGTACGTACAGAGGTCCTCAAACTTCTCCAGTGAGTGAATTCTGGACCTGGCCACACACCTCTTGTGACCCCTAGTGGCCATTTGATCGCACGTTCAATCTCAGGAACTCTCAGGCTCTGTGCTGAATGAATGAGCAGCCAAGTTCAATAATAATAATAATAATAATAATAATAATCCTTGCATTTGATATGGAGCCTTATCGCGTTTTTGAGACGACTCAAAGCGCTTCACGGGATACAGTGTAAAGTGAACTGAGATACCATCCCTTGGAAGAGATGTTAAATAGACGTTAAGTCATCTGTGCCTTGTTCAAGGGGATGTTCAAGATCTTATGGCGATATTGGTAAAGAGAAGGGAGTTCCTCCCCTCCCAGTGACTTGCCCAGATTTTCACCCATCACCCTGAATCTGCCCCAAATAAATGTCTGGGGTTTGTCGATCTTTATTGCTGCTGTAATGTGGAGATCCCTCTCCACCCACAGCCCCCCCCACCCACACCCCCCCCCCCCCCCCCCACCAGACACATTCGCTGCTGAAGGAACTGCACTTCAAAGTAACTCATTGGACAAATAAGGCGTTGGATCAAGTGAGAAGCTGCAAATTCTTGCTGATATGGCAATGAGCGATTGACATTCACACGGAGCGGACTGGGTGGTGAAATTCATGCATGGGGGCGGGTGGGGGGGGGGGGTGTAGTCTTCAATAGCTGCAGTTTACCAGTAGGGGACAATGCACAATGTCAATGTAAGAAAACCAATAATCCCAAAGAAATGTTCGCTCTGTCTCAACATGGGTGGGGGGGGGCCTTCAGGCAGGTTGGCTCATTGGGTTGTGTAGATGCTTATCAGGCGGCCCGAGGGGTCATGTGTGAGTAGTTGAAAGACTGGGCTGAAACAATAGCAGTTCATTGTGCGCTCTGTGCGATGAGGTTATCATAGATCACATTTTACCCCCGTGGGTGTATGTCCTTGGACATGTCAGGCTGGCTTGGTTTGTAGCGTTCCTGCCTCCGGCTCAGAGAGTTAAACCTCAACATCGGGACTTACGATCACAATCCAGTTCTCTCTCCAGCTGTGGCTGCCGGGGAACGCTGTATTGTCAGAGGTGCCGTACTTCAAACGAGATGTTCAAACGATGTCCTGACTGCTTGTTCCTCGTGACACTGTTGGAAGAGAGATGGGAAGTTTCTCTCCCCCGGTGTCCCTGGCCAACAATTCCCCCAGACACATCGATCATTCACTTCAAGGCTGTTTGTGTGCAAATGTCTCGTTTCGCCTCCATAAAGCAGGCGCTACGCGTGACAGAATAACAGTCGGCAAGAGTAACAAGATGTCCTAATGCTGCATCGAATACAAAGATTATTATTTATTATTACTATGCTCACATAATAATAATAATGATGATGTATTTGCCACAATGGCCACACTATTTCCAGGCTGTATTCACGGATCTTTGCTCTGTGCTGTCATTGCTCGGGTGAGCGATGTGTAATGGAGTGGTGGCACTGACAGGCAGGAAGACTTATCGTCTGTGCTAATGACTGACAGATGTGCCCCTTCACTTCCCTTCGAAGCACATAGGCATTTCTCTTCCCCCCCCCACCACCACCACCACCCCCTTCCCCCCACCACCAACCCCTCAACCTCCATCTCAGCAGTAATTCATCCTCTTCACCAGGTATTTTGACAGTTTTACTGACCTCCCTCAACCCCTCCCCCCCACATCGTACTTCTCGGGCACTAAGACCCCCACAGTGTTTACCATTCAGACATGAATTTCCCCCCACCCACCTCCCCGCCCCTCCCCCTGGCCCTCACCCACACATGATTATTCTGACTCCATAGAAACCCAAATATATGAGTACAATATAAATATATGTATAACAATTAAATGAATCCTTGCCGTATCGCACTGTCATGACATCTCGAAGTGCTACAGATCCTCAGTCACTACACTGATATTAATTGCTATCAAGCTGGCAATAGTTTCTTTTTCTTTCTATATGCCTAAGGATTCATCTGCTGTGAGGTCTTGGCTTAATACACACACACACACACACTGGATTGCTTAGTAGTCAATGCAAACCAATGTCAGAGTGACACATACATTCCAACATTGCGACTGAAATATGCACAACCACAAAGTAATGGGATTCTGGTCCATCTCCGGCCAGATGGGCCTGGATGATCTTCTCTGATCCTCAGCATCCCCATCGACCTCCATCTAACATTCCGCAAGGTTGAGGAATTCCGGGAATCAAGCCTTTCTTTGCCGTTGCAGTACGGAAACAACAGCAACTTGCATTTATATAGTGCCCCTTGCAAAGGGTACACTCTCAGAGCGCTTGAAACATGCCGTTCAGACCCAGCTAGTCCTGGCGTAAGATCCATTGCCTTAAAACTTAACATGGTGTTGAATTTCGCAAAATCGTCTTAAATCCCGGTTTAATAACGTGGACTGATTGATGAAGTGCTACGAAAAGGCACCTTTTTTCTTTATAAAGGTTGCAAACCCTCAACTGTGCCAATCCCTTGGGGTATCGTCCCCACGTGAAAGGCGCTATGTAAATGCAATTTGTTGTTGTTGGTGGTGGTGATGGTTGTTGTGCGAGTTTCAGCTCTTTTTTCTTTGCTTCTCTTTCTTGGCAGATGTGAACGAGTGTGAGGAGAGCAATGGCGGGTGCCAGGGGATTTGCTGTAACACGATCGGCAGCTTCTACTGCAAGTGTCTGAGTGGTCAGAAGCTGAGTGCTGACGGGACTTGCAAAGGTAGGCAATGGGGGGGGGGCTGGTGGGGGTTGGGGTCGGGAAAAGATGGGGGAGAAGGGGGGAATGGTGGGGAAGGGGGATTGACGAGGTTTAACCAAAACATATATGAGAGACGGAATGGTGGGAGGCCTTAGAGCATGAATCTGACTAACAGAATCCCTGCCTGGCTTAGCTCCAGTGAAGAGCTAAGGGGGGAGCGCTGTTTTGTCAGAGGTGCCGTGGTTCGGATAAGAAGTTAAACTGAGACCCCCAATCTGTGCCCTGTTCAGGTAGACATTAAAGATCGTGTGGTGCGACTCAAAAAGAGAAGGGAGTTTCCGACAATCCCCCAGAAAAAATGGCTTATTATCTGACATTGCTGTACCCCCACAAAATACACAGTAAATTCACTTTACAATATATTGTGTGAAGCACTTTGAGACGGTTCGAAATTTTATTTTATTATTACACAAGATGAGCTGCCATGTTTGCCTAGAAAATCCGCAGTCACTACACTTGACATTAGTTACTTTGAGACCTTTTTTGTTAGAAGTACTATAACACCCAAATTTTCCTCTGTCTGATTAAGAGATCGGTCAAGAAATTTCGCAAATTAGTTTTCGATATAGGAAGACTGACTTGCACTTATATAGAGTATACATCTTTCACCAAAAATAAATGTAACTGTTTTTTATTATGGCTGCGTTATTGGGAATATGCCAATGTCTCAAATTGTATTATTAAAATCTGTTGTGAATACCCAAAGAGCAATCAACTTGCTGCTTATGTCCTGCTAATTACTTACAGTTCCTTGGACCTCACCCAATAATCTGGCTTCTGTTTAAAAAATAGTCTCCAAAAAATGCGTGTGTTCATGTGTGTGAGTGTGTGTGTGTGTGCGTGTGTGAGTGTGTGTGTGTGTGTGCGTGTCTGTGTGAGTGTATGTGTGCGTGTCTGTGTGAGTGTCTGTGGGTGACTGCGTGAGTGTGTGTGTCTGTGTGTGTGCGTCAGTGTGAGTATGTGTCTGTGTGTGTGCGTCAGTGTCTCTGTGAGTGTGTGTGTGTCTGCGTGTGTTGGGGTTGCAGCACTGAGCTGCCCCTCACTATTCTGCTTACGATGGTGACTCGGTGGGTGACCTGATGTGTTTGAGGTTTACTCTTTATTCGGAGGGGAGGTGGTGCGGAGTAACGGCTGCCGTACCATCGAGTTGCGTTCCTGGCCAGAAGCGAGTGGTCACAGTGGGATTTAACCGCCCGCTTCTGAAGGAAGGAGAGCGAGAGAGAAGAAGAGCGAGAGGCGAGCGAGGGAGTGCGAGAACGTTAGCGAGAGAAGGAGGAGACAGCATGAGGGAGAGAGTGAGAAGAAGACTAGGAGTCGCTTCAGAAACAGTCTTATTGTAACTTATTTCTTAACCGGTTTCTTAATTAAGAAATCCGAGCGGTGGGGGGGGGGGGAGACCCCCATTTTGGTAACCGGGGGAAGGGTGCTCCAACGTGGGGCCAAACCGCAGGGCGGAAGCAGTCAGACGGACCAGCCGGGATCCTGGATTTCCTGAGGACAGGAATTGAAACTCCCTCAATCCCTCCGCCTTGCCCTCCCCTTCCCCATCTTCAGGTCACTCCTGAATACCTTCCTCTTCGACCGTGCTTACGGTCACTCCCTCCCCCCCACTCCCCTCCGCCGGAGATGAAAGTGCAATTGGCTCGGGGTCAGGCTCCACCGCTGTCAAGCGCTTTGAGATGCTGCCCTGTGTGAGGGCACTATGTAAGAATAAGCAAACAGCAGTCTGTCTCAGGGCCCCCTATCCTCTATATAAGTGGAAGCAGAGAGCGGGGGGGGGGGGGCGGGGGGGAGGTAAGGTGATAAGGTGACCCCTTCCCGCCACCCACACACCAACCCCACACGTTACAACCCCCTTCCCCCCCTTAGAGAGGCTGCTGTGGGATTGAGTGAATAATCTTTGCTGATATATGGGAGCCCGGGGTCTGAATTGAATCTCATGCTGGTTCAATTACCAAAAGTAAAATGAGCCACTGGTCAGAAGCCAGGACACAGCAGACAACAAATTGTGTTTCGTGGAGCAGGGTTTTAATAACCAGCGAGTGTCAGTCTGATTGCAGCTACTCACCCAGCTCCCTTGCGCCAAGCGCTCTCCGCACATTAATCTGCCACAATGCCCTTTATTCAGCGCAAGGCGGGCGAGAGCCATGGTTTCACCCCACGCAAGCAGCCGACCTGCTGTTTTGTCTGGCTGGCTGGCTGGCTGGCTGGCTGTGCGACTGGCTCAGCCTGCTCCTCTCACTGTGCTCCCGCTCTCCGTCGCTCGCTGTATCTCTGCTCCCTGCTCCCGGACAATCTCCAGCTCTCTCTCCTGCCTCAAACTTACCAGGTTACTAAGAAACCGTGGAGCCCTATACCGTTTTGGCTGGAGCGCTCGCCTCGCAAGCGAGAGGACCCAGGTTCGATTCGATTCCCAGGCAGGACGAATCCTTAGGCTTGTTTCCTTACTCCGCACACCTCAGTTTACCCAGCAGCAAGTAGGAACCCATTTTGTTAGTCGATTGGCGGATTGCTTTTCCGGGGCTATTATTACTATCCGTGCAAAAAAAAAATTATGACAATAATTTGGTCGCTCAATCCACGAGTGTTTGTGGGACACCACCACGTTTCACCCACAAAAAGTTTGGTCGCTACACTTTTACAGTATGTTCCGTGAAGCGCTTTGAGAAGTCTCAACGATGTGAGAAGGCGCGATATCAAACACAAGGTATTATTAGATTATTATTAAACATCAGAAAAGGAACCAAACTGCCTTGCGAAATGTCCTGTTCTCCGGTGCACAGCCTGAAATCTGTGCGTCAGTCTGACAGAAAACTGCTCTAAGACAAGCAATCTAATTCCCATAGAACCCATCAGCGGGCATTCCACCGCAGAGAAACAGGAGCGATCCATCGCTTCAAGAAGACGTTACAAGTCAGAGCTCATATACTGCGATAAAAACCTCACTGGATGTTCAGTGTGGAGACGAGGGGGCTCTTCACTCCACTGAGACCCTGTGATATATGGACCGTGTCCTACGTTACAACTCACCAGATCCCCCCGCTGTTAGTAACAGCGAGTGCCCCCACATGACCCTCTCTCCGGCTCTTTGCTGAGGTGCTCGCACATGTGGCTGAGAGAGCCCGATTTCCACACGCAGAACAGAGGAGGCACAGATGTTTCTCTGGCTTGACCGCGCGTAGTTTGGTGTTCTGGGTTGGCTGGAAAGGCTCCCGCGAATGAGCCGTGAAGGGGGAACAGACGGCCGTGAGCTGAACCGCATGAGCAATCTCTGAAGTTGACACGGCGGGTCCTCAGGGTTGCTAATCGGAAGGATCGCAAGCTGTGAGTAGTCGCCTGGCGCACACCACAAAGAGATTTTGTATTTTAACTCCATCGAACCTGCCCTCTCGGCTTGGGAGCATTCCTTGTATTTTATCACGACCCCAGGCTTTTTGACCCAGCGCCCGTCCAGTGGAAACGCGAGCCTTGCTCTTCTGATGCGTTGTCAAATGTGGTGACTGCGGATTTCTCTGTTTGGAGAGCGCGAAGGCCAATCTGTGAATGGCGACGTCCCACGAACCGATTAATCTGGAGGCCCTGACACCAGTGGTGGTGGAGAACAGATTCCTTCTCTTTTCCAACAATGTTTGGGGGGAATCTTTAATGTCTACATCTCAGACACACACCCTCACCACCACCACAACCACAAATCTGCAAAGTTATGGGGTAAGAGCGGGGGAGTGGGACTGATTGGGTAACTCTTCCGAAGAGCTGTCACAGGCACGGTGGGCCGAATGGCCTCCTGTGTGCTGTAAGATTCTATGATTGTATGATTCTAACATCCTGACCCACAGGCTGGAGAGTGTGACCGACTGAGCCAAGCGGAACAAAGTAGCTTGACGTGTGTGGGAGTATTCCTTTTGTGATTACCTCAAAAGTATTCTAAAAAAAGTTCACAGTCTCCCCATTGAACACGACGGGTGGGACAGGCTGGCGGGCGGACAATGTGATGAATTGTGAACAAGAGAAGTGCATTTAAATCTGTCCCCTCGCTCATCATCTCTGAGCCCACAGCCGTACTCCACCTCAACCTTGAGGTAGTTGAATTGACTTGGACAATGGAATTATTCTTAGGTTCCCAACATCTGGTGTGTGGTACGAGTCCTCCTTCAAAGCGCGGAACTGTAGTACTGTAATCAAGCCTTTTATAACCAAAAAAGAAAGTGGATGAGGCTGAATGGAAACATTCGCCCAACAACAGCTCCTTGGCATCGCTTGAGGCAGGGTGATGTCAGCGCCTCGCTCTGTGTTCATCGCTCTGTTTGAAGGCCAACGTCTAAATTCAGCCTGGATTTGGCTGCTGGCGTTTCCTCTTGTTAGAGATCGCCCATTAGTAACACAGCGAGGCGAGGCGAGGCGAGGCGAGGGTGGCGGGAGGAGAGCCATCCTGCAGTCAGCCAGTATTGTTTACTAATTGGGGAAACGATGTGTGCGTCAGATCAACGCAGAGCAGAGGTTGGACTGCCGTTCACAGCCGGACCGCGCTCGCTTAGGTCCCTGAAATCAGACCCCGAGTTGTAAAAAAAGAGGGGGGGAGGGTGGGGGTGGGGGGGGGGGGGCGAGTGCTGCTGAGCTCACTTCCTGTGCCGTGCTGTAAGCAGGAAGTGCTGCGGCATCACTTCCCGTGCGCGCAGGAAGCCATCCCGATCAGAGCTGAAAAAGTACCGCACTCTTATGAGGAGCCATGACCTCACGCAACAAAAAGCAATTGGATTACTTCCCTTGTGGTTCAGGAAATGGGTCCAAAGCTTGAGTCGAGCTTGGGCCAAGATCAATGGAATGGTGTGAGGCAACGTGTTCTGTTACAGTGGGGTTTCGCGGTGTAGGATGAACGCTAAGTCCACAGGCCATTATTTGGGTTGTCTCTGATCGCTGACATGATTGATGACAGTCAAGAGATTCCCATGGTCTGGTTCGAG